ATGTCACTGGTAGTCAAAACAGACTCAAAGTAGGCTTTTTCTTGATTTGGCTTGTTTTTTTTAAAAAAAAAATTAAATGTGTTAATAGTCCTCTAGTGCTGCTTTCACAGGGATACCACATATGAATGGCTTTAACAAACAGAAATTTGTTCTTACACCAAAGGACTCAAGAAGTCCAGATTCAGGATGCCAGCTGGAGGGGAAAGCCCACTCTTTCTTGGTCAGTGATGGAAGAAAGTCTTTGTTTCCTTTGGCATTTGTAAGCCAGGTATTCCCTGGGGACCCCCATGTGTCCTTGCCTTCCTGTGTCAAGGAGCTTCACTGCACAGAGGCCTGGATCCAAAAGGTGTCCCTCTACTCCTGGCAACCGGATCTTGGTGGTCCTAAGAGAGTGCCCAATTCTGGACTTGCTTTCCTCCCTTTTTATCTCTAGTAAGATGAAAGGTATTACTGGACACATTAAGGGGTATTGTATATCTACTTAGGGCTGAAATGGGATCAGGAAGTGCTGCATTCCACCCTTAATCCTCTACATATCCTTAAGGAAGGGGGTATATAATTAAATCTTTGACAGAATATGAAGTGGTATTTCGCCACGGTTTTGATGTGCGTGTTTCTGCTGGCTTAAGGTAAGGAGTTTTGCTGCCAACCCAAAGGCAGACAATTTTAATCCACCAACAGCTCCTCAAAAGACAGGATCTTCTGCTGTGCTACTTAACTGTCTCTGAAAACCTGTTAAAGGGTCAGTTTCAACTCAATGTGCATAACAAATATGAATAAAGTTAATTGTTGTTGCTGTTATGTGCTTGCAACTCATAGCAGCCTAAACCCTGCTGTGTCTTGTGCCTATCTCATTGTCTCTGACACACCTACCCCATTACCCTAGTCACTTAATCAGTCTATCTCATCAGTCCTTTCCTGAGCTGTCCCTCCACCCTCCCAAACATGATGTCCCTCTCCAAGGACTGGTTCCTCCTTGCAACATGCCCAAAGTGTGTCAAGACGAAGCTTCAGAATCCTTGCCTCCAAAAAACAGCCTGGTTTCACCCTCTTCAGGACAAACCTGTTTATTCTCCTGGAAGTCCATGGTATATCAATACTCTTCTCCAGTACCACAGTTCAAAGGCATCAATTCTCCTTCTGTCATCCCTGGTCACTGTCCAGCTTTCCGATGCATAGCAAATAATTGCAGACTATGGCCTGGATCTGGAAGCAGGAGTGGCATCCACTTCCTAAATAACATGCCTCCAGAAACTCTATGAACTTTGATAAATGTCTGTAGTTGTAGAGGGGCTTCAGACCTTTTGTTCATAGGGTCACTATGAATCATGCTTGATTCAAAGGCAATCAACAACAACAATGGCTTGGATCAGGTTCACCAGTCTCCAAACTGACATCGTTGCACTTCAGTACTTTGGAGAGGTCCCTGACAGCAGACTTTCCCAATGCATTCATCTTTTAATTTCCTGGCTGCTGGTACCAAGAGTGTTGATTGTGGAGCCAAGTAAACTGAAGCTGTTAACAATCTCAATCTCTTCTCCATCTATCATGATGCTACCAGTTAGGCCAATGGTGAGAATCTTTGTTTTCTTGATGTTGAACTTCAATCCATATTGAAGGGGCAGTCCTTGGCCTTCTGCAGCAAGCGCTTCAGGTCTTCCTCAGTTTCAACAAGCAGGGCTGTGTCACCTGCATCATGCAGATTGTTGATGAGTCTACCTCCAATCCTGATGCCACATTCCTCCTCACAGAGCCCAGCATCCCAGATGGTCTGTTCTGCATATAGACTGTAAAGGTTGGAGATAGGACACATCCCTGGTGTACACCCTTCCAAACTTTGAACCATGCAGTGTTTCCTTGTTCTAAAGACTGCCTCCTGGTCCAAGTATAGGTTTTGCATAAGTACAAATAAGTGTTCTGGGATTCCCATTTTTTTCAGAGTTAGTCACAGTTTGTTGTGATCCACACAGTCAAATGTCTTTGCATAGTCAATGAAATACAGATAGACATTCATCTGGTACATTCTGCTTTTAGCCAAGATCCACTTGCTTTACAATGCCTATTTATACATAATCTTCTCTGAAGAACATCACTAAACTAGTAACAGTTATTGCCTCTAGGGAGAGGAAATGAAAGACTGTGGGGAAAGGCTATCTCCATTATGAAATCTTTGTACAGGTTCAATAAGGCCTTGCCTTCTGTGGTCCATGAAGAGGCACTGTGGTCCTCATAAACCTTTGGAATTAATACAGAATTGTGTACCATCAATTTACAGCTTGCTAATGGGAGAAAAGACAGAAGACGAATTTATGCCTTTGGGCTGTGGTGTTAGAAAAGAGAGTTGAATGGACTGCCAAAAGTACAAAAATATGTCTTGGATAAAGTGCTACCAGAGTGCTCCTTGGAGGCAAAAATAATGAAGATTCATCTCATATACTTTGAGCATGTTACTAGGAGAGATTATTCCTTGAAGCGAGACTTCATGCTTGAAAAGGCAAAGGTTCAGTAAAGGAGAAGAAGACTCTCATCCAGATGGACTGACTTGACTTGATGGCACTTAACAACAAAACCAATCTGGAAACGCAACTATATCTGGATAATAGTTTCCTATTCTTATCAGGCCTCTTTTGCTCAAACAGCCTGCACTAACTCTAAAGTACTTAGCATACACTGGAGTCCCTAAGTTGTGCTGCAAAAGTCTAATACTAATCCTAAAAGTTGATACTTTGAACCCATCCAGAGGCATCTTGGAAATAAGGCCTGGAGATTATGTCTGAGAGGTCACAGTAGTTCTGCTCTGAGATACAAGGGGCTAGGATGAACTCTATAGCAACTGGTTTGGGCTTTTGTTGATTAGCCACACACTTGCTCTGTCCAGTCACTAGACACTTACTCATTGCCACCACAGCTTAAGATGGGATGTTTGGACTATCCACCTGGACTCGGGCCTGTTGTCGTTATTGTTAAGTGCCGTCAAGTCATAGGCGACTCAGTGACCCTATGAACGTAAGTCTGGACACCTGTGTGACTTTTGTCCTCTCTCCAGGTTCATAGTTTCCAGAGATAAGCTATTACGGAAGTAGATGCCACTCCTGCTTCCAAGCTTGTTTTAATCGGGGAGCTTCACCAAACACTGTCCAACATGGGTAGCCATTCTTGCATTTGACTCATCAGTGTCACAGTGTTCGGCTTCACAGCAATCACGAGTTACCTCTGTACAGCAAGTGAACAAACCAGGGTTATATGACTCAGGCCTAGGCTCAATTAAACCACATGTCAATACAAAGCTGTCTTAGCTGGGGTTGCTGCTAAATGCTTTGACCAGACCTTTGACCCTTTGCCCTGTATAGAGCACTTACTCTAAAGATATTCACCTGAAAAAAAAAAAAAAGATATTCACCTGGACACAAAGTTCATTACCAAGTATGCAATGACTGTACATACTTACTTTTATTTTACTAAAAAGAAAAAGAAAAATCACAGTGGTAGAATTTTTTTTTGTATATCGGATTGCTTCTCCTAGTGAAATTTTTTTTTTTGGGCTTTGAGTACAGCATACTTTATGGTTATACATGATGAGATCGGCTTTCTAAGCCCCGCCATTTCTTAGGGGGAATGTATGGAAACTATATCAAGGATGTGAGATTCTCAGCGTGCAGAGGTACTGAGTTGGGACAAGGCCTCCTCAGCAACTGAGGGTCTCTCTCTCTCTTTTAGTGCTGTTGCTGGGGCTGGTGGTCCAAGGGGCTCTTACTCTTCGGAGGCCATGTGAACCATCAGGTTGACCACCCAGTTGCTGTAGCCAAATTCACTGTTATACCAGCAAATGAGTTCGACAAAGTGTTCATTCAGGGCAATGCCACCTACCATCATAAAAGGTGGAAGAATGGGTGTCACAGTTAAAGTCACAGGAGATAATGTGGTCTTCAGTGTATCCCAGGATGCCCGTGAGGAGCCCTTCTGATGCCTGCTTTTCTACCTTCTTGATATCATCATATATGGCAGTTTTCTATAGACGAGAGGTCAGATCCATGACTGACAGACACATTGAGGGTGGGTACATGGAAAGCCATGCCAGCAAGTTTCTCATTCAGTTTGGGGATGACCTTGCCCACAGCCTTGGTAACATCAGTAGATGCAGGGATGATGTTCTGGGCAGCTCTATGCCACAGCTTCCCAGAGGCACCATAGTCTTCTGAGTGGTAGTTATGGCATGGACTGTGGTCATGAGTCCATCTATGATGCCAAAGTTGTCATTGATGACCCTAGCCAGGGGTGGTAGCACAGGAGGCATTGCTGACAATCTTGAGAGAGTTATCATACTTCTCATGGTTCACACCCATCACAAACACGGGGCATGGCCAGAAGGAGCAGAGATGATTACCCGTTTGGCACCACCGTTCAAGCAAACTTTAGCCTTCTCCAGGGTTGTGAAGACACCAGTGGACTCCACACATCCTCAGCACCAACATTACCCCACTTGATGTTGGCAGGATCTCACTCCTGGAAGGCAGCGATGACTTTACCATTCTCAGCCTTGAGAGTGCCACTGAACTTGCCATGGGTGGAATACCTGAGGTCAATGAAGAGGTAATTGATGGCAACAATATCCACTTTGCCAGAGTTAAAGCAGCCCTGGTGACCAGGTGTCCAATGTGGCCAAATTAATTTACTCTGACCTTCACCATCATGTCTCAGGGATCCAGCTGAGGCTGCATAAAAAGAGAGGGCTATTTGTCAATTGATGAGGACATTTCCAATGCAGTCTCCTCTGGTATGCAGCTCTGACTGTTAAATCCCAGGAAGGAAGCAGGCTGCTCAGATTTTCATGTCTGAAGTTGAGGTCCCTTCTTCCCTTACCACCTCTGGTGGAAGAGGACATTCCTCTCCCAGGAGATGTTCAGTATGTGTGTTTCTGTGGATTCCATCTCAGATATTTTTCTTGATTTAACTCTTGTCTTTTCAATTAAGGACCAGAGTCTTTAGCTTTGTCCTGAACTTCAAGGGCCAAAAAGTTCAATACTGTCTACTTTCTCCTCTTTGTAGAGCAGGATGTTCTCCATCAGCTTCCTTTTGGCTTCATTGATTTCAATTTTCCATGAAGTCTCTGTAGCTGATATTAGGCAGAAAATTAAAAAGAGAAATTTGAACACAGGCATTTGGAAATCATTTCTATTCTAATTCTTAGTAAATAAAGATTAAATCAGAATCTTTCATTTCAATCAGGTTTCTGAACTAGGCCCTAAATATAATGGATATTTCATCATTTAAGTCTTTGTATGGAAATGGTACAATTTATCACTTCCAACCCTAGTTTTATGGAGAGGAGAGGACTTCCGTGTTACTCAAACAAGGAGGGAGTTTGAGAGCAAATGATTATAGCTTTTCTCTATCCTTCCCATGGAGGAGAAACAAGCAAACAAACAAAAAAACTAACAACAACAACAAGGAGTAGGTGGCAATTAGAGTCTGTGCAGCCACACTGAGTGGCATTCACTTAGAGGGCAGGGACAGGTTGTTGAAATTTTTCTAATTTTTATTTCAGAAGAAGGCTGTGGTGTTGGAGACAGAGGTATCTTTAAGTGTAGCTGACAAGAAGGTTTTTCTTGTAAAATGAGGACAGACAGGCAGACAGAACCAAACCATACAGGGTCTGCAAAGGGTGTTTTGACACTATTCTTCCCAAACACAATGGGGAGTCACTTCAGGCCTTTCAGAGAAGGGTTACAAGATTTGACCATCTTTGGCTGCCTCCTAAAGAAAGGGCTGCTGAAAGACCATGCTGGAATTAGGGAGGCTGGAAGAAAAGCACTGTGCTGGGGCCAGGAGAGAGGGTGGGAGTTTCAGCTTGGGTGGCAACACAGAGCAGTGGGGCTGGGAGATATCTGAGATGTAAACCTAAGACTGCATGATAGAAGGGTAGAGAATGACTCCCAGGTCCCCTCTGTACAACTGCCTGGTCAGTGAGCAGGTGACTAACCAAATGAACGTACCAATGAGGGGATGGGGAGAGTAAGATGCTGGCACACAGTGAGCATACCCAGACCTCCACTAGCTTACCATCAGGTATGGGCAGCAGGCTGGCACAAGCCTGCAGGCGCGAGTCAGCTTCCATTTCCCCACCCTCCATGGGGAGAGGTGAAAAGGCAGCTTCTGCCCAGGGCACCTCCCTCACGAAAGGGGCAGCACTGAGGCTGGAATTGTCCACGTCATCAGTTTCTTCTGGGGTATTGGAGGAGGCACCTGTGTCCGATGAAAGCCCGCTCCAGGTGAGCAACATCTCCTGACCTCTGAGCCGCTCCTCCCAGGCCATCACAGAGTCACAGATCTTGAGGAGAGAAGTTAGGAGATAAGAGAATTTGTCACAAACTTTTTTAAAATAAAAATCTATCTTGTTTAAACCACTGAGCTTCAGAGCCTCCTCATTACAGCAGCTTAGCCTGAGCACTGAACAAATGAGTGAAGTGAATAAAAAGACTAACGGCCTAAGTGAAAGAATGAATTAAAGGGAAATGGACTGACACAATGATTGCAGCAATGGGCTCAGGTATGTCAAAGATGGTGAGGACGGCACAGGATAGGGCAGGGACCAGGTCTGTTCACAGAGTTGCTATGAGTCATACTTGACTCAATGGCGCCTAACGACAGTCCTAGGAAGGGGCTCCAGGCCGCAGGCCTTACCTCCACCAGGCTAGCATTGCGCCTCCGTAGGCAGAGGTAGGTGGCCAGGGCCAGGGCCTGGGCACAGTCCTCGGGCAGCTTCCCCGCACGCCTCTCCAGGTACTTGGAGCAGATCTCCTTTGCCATCTTCTTCTCTCCGTCCATCTTCTTGGAGGAGAGTGTGGTGGTGCTACCTGGAACCTCCCTCAGGAGCAGATCTTTCTGCAGAAAGGAGGAGGAGATGTCCCTGTGAGCACAGCATGCTAAGAGCCCTGTCTACCACACAACTCTCCAGGATTTCAAATATACACACAGGATTTTCTTTTTAAATAATAAACAAAGCCGTTTTGTTCTTTCGGCACCACCATGGTGGTTGGTAAGAACAAGCGCCTTACAAAAGGTAGCAAAAAAGGAGCCAAGAAGAAAGTGGTTGATCCATTTTCTAAGAAAGATTGATGATATAAAGGGGCCAGCTATGTTCAATATAAGAAACATAGGGAAGATATCAGTTACAAGGAGTCAAGGAACCAAAATTGCATCTGATGGACTCAAGGGTCGTGTTTTTTTTAAGTGAGCCATGATGTTTTGCAAAATGATGAGGTTACATTTAGAAAATTCAAGCTAACCACTGAAGATGTTCAAGGCAAAAACTACCCCACCAACTTCCATGGCATGGATCTTACTTGGAACAAAATGTTGTTCATGGTCAAAAAATGGCAGACCATGATTGAAGTTCATGTTGATGTCAATACTACCGATGATTATTTGTTTCCTCTGTTTTGTGTTGGTTTTACAAAAAAAATGCAACAATAAGATTTGGAAGACATCTGGAAGACAGGTCCGCCAAATCCAGAAGAAAATGATGGAAATCATGACCCAAGAGGTGCAGAAAAATGACTTGAAAGAGGTGGTCAATAAATTGATTCTAAACAGCATTGGGAAATACATAGAAAAGACTTGCCAGTCTATTTATCCTCTCCATGATGTATTTGTTAGAAAAGTAAAAATACTGAAGAAGCCCACATTTGAACTAGGCAAACTCATGAAGCTTCACGGTGAAGGTAGAAGCTCTGGAAAAGATACAGGAGATGAGACAGAGGCTAAAGTTGAACGAGCTGTTGGCTATGAGCCACCAGGTCAAGAATCTATTTAAATTTCAGACTTTTAATAATGACAAATAAAAATTATTATTTATGAAAAAAAATCCAAAACAAAACAATAAACGTAGGTGGCAAGAAGCTGCACTGCAATCACAAAGGCGTGTTGTTCAAATCCACCAGATGCTCTGGTGGAGAAGGAGAGGCAATCTCCTCCTGTGCCAGCTGGATCCAATCTGACAGCACACAACAACAACAAATAAACAAGCAAACAAAAAACCACAACTTATGAAACAAGGAAAACATCCAACTGGGGAATTGCTAAAAGTCCCAAATTCATGGAAATCTCCACAACCCAGATATATACAGAAACAATCCTAAATCTTTCTAGAACTCTGTTTCATTAGGGAAATAGAACAAAAAAAATTTTTTTAAAGGCACAAGCCACATGTCTTCGGGAATGGAGCACAATTTTACCACTAGGCCAGGAAGGAAGTTAGCTGCCAAAAGTGAGCAGTTCAGATCCACCAGTTTCTCCACAAAAGAAAGAAGTACAGTCTCCTCTTGTGTGACTAATTCCCTCTAAAAACCTGCTGTCGGCTCTGACTTGATGGTACACAACAATAACATTTGAGTATTTTACTTACATTAATGATTTAGTTTTATTAATAATTATATGGATAATCTTTTATGGCACAAAAGAAATATTTCTGAGTCATAAGAATTACATTACCTGTGTGTGTGTTGTTGTTGTTCTTGTTAGGTGCCACAGAGTAGTATTTACAGCTAAACTAACCTATGAACAACAGATCTGAACTCTGTCCTATCCTGCACAATCCCTACAATCTCTAGCACACCTGTGCCCACTGTTGCAATCACTGTGTCAACCATCTTGTTGAGTCTTCCTCTCTTTCCTTGATCCTCCACAACTTTCCAAGCATGAACTTTGCCATCTTTGCCTCCAAGGAGCACTCTAACTGCACTAGTTCCAAGACTTATCTTTTGGAAGTCCATGGGATATTCAGAACTCTGCTCCAACATCAAAACCCAAAGGCATCTATTTTCTTCTTTTATACTTATGGTGATGAAAGAAGAAGTTCAAGCTGCTTTGAAGGAAATAGCAAAAAAATAAGGCCCCAGGAATAGATGGTATACCAATTGACATATTTCAGCTAACAGATGCTGCTCTGGATGTGCTTACCAAATTGTGCCAAGAAATCTGGAGAACAACCAGTTGGCCAACTGACTAGAAGAGATCTATATTTGTTCCCACCCCAAAGAAGGTTGACCCAACAGAGTGTGGAAACAATAGAACAATATCGTTGATTTCACATGCAAGCAAGACTCTAATGTAGATTATTCAAAAATGACTGGGACAGCACATCAGCAGAGAAGTGCCAGAAGTCCAGGCTGGGTTTAGAAGGGGTTGTGGTACTAGGGATATTGTAGCTAATGTTAGATGGATTTTAGCTGAAAGCAGGGAATACCAGAGGAATGTCTATCTGTGTTTCATTGATTATGATTATGCAAAGGTGTTTGACTGTGTGGATCATAACAAACTGTGGCTGACTCTGAGAAGAATGGGAATCCCAGAACACTTGATCGTGCTAATGTGAAACCTATACTTGGACCAAGAGGCAGTCATCAGAACAGAGCAAGGAAACATTGCATAGTTCAAAACTGGGAAGGGTGTATGCCAGGGATATGTCGTGTCTCTATATCTTTTCAACCTGAATGCAGACAGATTATCTGGGAGGCTGGGCTCTATGAGGAGGAATGCGGGGTCAAGATTGGTGGAAGATCTACAAACAATCTGCAATATGCAGATGACACAACCCTGCTTGCCAAAACTGAGGAGGACCTGAAGCGCTTGCTGCAAAGGGTCAAGGACTGCAGCCTCCAGTACAGATTGAGGCTCAATGTCAAGAAGACAAAGATTCTCACCACTCAGTCAATTGGCAGCATCAGGATGGATGGTGAAGAGATTGAGATTGTTCACAGCTTTAGTCTGCTTGGCTCCACAATGCACACTCTTGGCACCAGCAGCCAGGAAATTAAAAGATGTATTGTGATGGGAAAGTCTGCTGTTAGGGACCTCTCTAAAGTACTGAAGAACAGTGGTGTCACTCTGGAGATGAAAGCGGGTCTGATACAGGCTATGGTCTTTGCAATCATTTGTTATGCATCTGAGAGTTGGACAATGACTAGGGAGGATAAAAGGAGAATTGATGCCTTTGAGCTTTGGTGTTGGAAAAGAGTACTGAGGGTACGATGGACTGCTAAGAAAACAAACGGATTAATCCTGGAGAGGGTTATACCAGGCTGCTCCTTGGAGGCAAGGATTCTGAGGCTTCGTCTGACATACTTTGGTCATGTTGTAAGGAGAGACCACTCCTTGGAGAAGGACATCATGCTTGGGAGGGTGGAGGGACGGTGCAGGAGGGGAAGGCCTTCTAAGAGGTGGACTGATTCAGTGACTGGGGTAGTCGGGATGGGTGTGTTGGAGACAGTGAGATTAGCACAGGAAAGAGCAGAGTTTAGGGCTGTTGTACATAGGGTCACTATGAGTCACAAGTGACTTGACAGCATATAACAACAACAACAACAACAACATACTTATTCATTGTACAGTTCTCAGATAGCAAGTGATTGAAAAGACCATAGCCTAAATCAGGTGCACCTTTGTCCTTTACTGTAGACTTTCCAAATGCAATGTCTTCTGATTTCTTGACTATTAGTGCCAAGGGTGTTTATTGTGGATCCTAATAAGATGAAATCACTGACAATTTAAATCTTTTCTCCATGTATCATGGTGCCATCTATCAGCCCATGGTGAGGCTTTTCTTTTTCTCATGTTGAGATGTAATCCATATTGATCTGATCTTCTGCAGCAATTGTTTCAAGCCATCTTCATTTTCAATAAGTCATGTCATCTGTATAATGCAAGTTGTTGATGAGTCTTCATTCCATCCTGAAACCACCTTTTTCTTCAAAAGTCCAACTTCTTGAACGATTGGCTCTGCTTATGGATTGAATAGGCATGGAGAAAGGACATAGCCCTGTTGCACACCCTTATTGTTTTTAAATCATGCAGTATTCCCTTGTCCCATTAAGACAACAGCTTCTTGGTCTAGGTAGAAGTTTCATATGAGCATGATTAAATGTTCTGTTATTCCCATTCTTCTCAATGTTAACCAGTTTGTTATGATCCATATGGTCAGATATCTTTGCATATGTATCAGAGAGGTGGACAATGACTAAGGATGACAGGAGAAGAATTGAAGCCTTTGAGTTGTGGTGCTGGAGAAGAGTCTTGAACCTGGACCACCAGGAGAACAAATAGGTCTGTCCTGGAGAGGGTGAAACCAAGTTTCTCCTTGGAGGCTAGGAATTTGAAGCTCTGTCTCATACACTGTGGGCACGTGGCCAGGAGGGACCAGTTCTTGGAGAAGGACATCATGCTTGGAAGGGTGGAGAGACAAGAGAGGACAGGAAGACAGTGGATGAGATGGATTGACATGGTAACTGGGGCAATGGGGGTAGGTGTGTCAGTCAATGAAACTGGTTCAGAGCTAGTGTACATGGGGTCAATATGACTTGTGGGTGACTCAATGGTACAAAACAACAATAACAACAAACATTCTATAAAACACAAATAGCTATTCCTCTGGTATTTTCTGCTTTCAATCAAGATCCATCTAACATCAACAGTAATATCCCTTGTGCCTTGGATTCTTCTAAACCTAGCTCGAACTTCTGGCAGATCTGTAACTTTACTGGCCTAGTGGTAAGGTGCTGCACTGAGAGACCAAAGGCATTCAGGTTGAATTCACCACCTGTTTTGTGGGTGAAAAATGGACAATCTGCTCCTGTGAGATTTTACTAACTCTAAAAACCTGCTGGAAGGATAGATATGAGTCATTTCCAACTTGATGCCACATAACATTATATATATTGTTTGTTGTTGTGTACCATCAAGTAGGAACCATCCCATAGCTGACCCTCCAGCGGGTTTTCAAAGGCAATTAATCATATGGAAGAAGACTGCCCATTCTTCTCTACGTATAACAACATTGTTGTTGTTGTGTACCATCAAGTAGGAACCATCCCATAGCTGACCCTCCA